GGGAGGGGAGAGAGACAGAGAGACACAGAGAGATAGACAGAGAGAACCTGTTGGTTAATTAACATATATACCCATCACTTCATGTAGATATTATTTTCCATTTTTTAATAATGAGAACATATCCTCTTAGCAAATCTTAAGTATACAATACAGTTTGTTCACTACAGTTACCAAGATGCACATTAGATCTCCAGAATTCATTCATCTTGCATAACTGAAACCTAGTGTCTTTTTCCCCCCATAATTTTATTGAGAAACAAATAACAATGAGACAGTCTCAAACCAAATTGGTAGGACAGTTTCAATAATTAACACATTGCATACATTCTTCCTAGTAGTTAATTGCTGTACAAGATGCAGACATGATATCCTATCCACAAACACTACTACAACAAATCCCTCTATTCATTAAGAGAATGTAACTATATACCTATCCTAACCATTTTGAATACACAGATACAAAAATAGACATTCATCTGTATCTCCTTTTTTTGTTTAGTTCCATTACTTGAATAATATAGGTGTATAACTGCAACTTAGTGTCTTTTAGCTAACATTTCTCCATTTCAACACCAGCTCCTTTGCTCCCTACCCTCTGCTTCTTTGACTTATATACATCTCCCCAGTAATGGCATATAACCTTTTTATATGCTGCTGAATTTCATTATGCTAATAATTTTGTTAAGAATATTTGTGTGGGGGGGCCAGAGAGATGGCTCAGTAGAATAAGCGCTTCCCTGGCAAGCACAAGGGCCTGAGTTCAATCCCTGGTTCCGCCAAAAAAAAAAGGAAAAGGAAAACAATTAGATGTGATATTTGGGCTGGTGAAATGGCTCAGTGGTCTAAAGCACCTACTTAGAACAAGCTAAGCCAAGCAAAGCACAGGGACCGCAGTTCAATCCTCCAGCACCACATGCCAGCCAGCCCCGCCCCCTGGTGGGCTGAGCTGGCCACACACAAAAATAAATAAATAAATAATTAATAAAAAAAGAATATTTGTGTGGGGCCAGTGAGATAGCTCAGCAGATTAAATACCTGCTTTGGCAAGCGCAGGGACCAGGGTTCGATCTCTGGTCCCACATGCTTCCCTGGCCCTACCTGAGTCTGAGAGTAGTGGTGCACACTTGTAATCCCAGCACTGGGAAGGCTGAAAACAGGAGGATCACTAAAGAGTCTGAGCAGCTACCCTGTACCAAATACATAAAAGGGAGGGGGAAAAAAGGGTATGTGTCTGTTCATAAGGGATATGGATCTATAGTTTTCTTGTGATGCTTCTCATTTGATACCAGTAACAAAGCACAATGGAAACACCATGAGCAAAGTATTTTCCCCTTCTACCTTCTGGAATGCTATGTGAAGGATTGATGCTAACTCTACTATTAATACCTAATAGAATCAACAATGAAGCCATTGGCCATCAGGCTTTTCTTTGTACACAGGCTTTTTTTTTTTTTTACTACTAATTCAATCTCTGTTGTGTTTGCTCTGATTTTCTTTTTCTCCCTGAGTCAGTTTTGTGACTTCCATTTCCTTTAAGGCAACCAATTGTTGGCATACAATTATCAGAAATGTTTCATATTTTTAACCTTTTTATTTTTATAGTCAGTACTATTGTTAATACTCTCATATCCAATTTAATTTTTATTGATCAAATACCTAAAAAGTTTCCAATTTTGATTTTTTTCCATTTCTTTCAATTGTCTCTTCTTTATCATCTATTTCATTCATTTCTGCTATAATCTTTATTATTTATGATCTCCTTCATTCTGCTAGGAATAAATGTAGTTTGACCTCCACTTTCTAATTTCTTAAAATGGATTTTGGTTATTTCCTGAGCATCATTTTGCTTAAATTATTTGTTCATAGCTAAAAATTTTCCTTCTAAACAGTAGCACACCGTAAGTCTTTGTATGTCGTATTTTTGTTTTCACTTAACTCATTTCCCTCTTTCTCTTCAATTTCTTCCTGTGGAGTGTCCTATTAATTTTCACTTTCTAGTGAACTTCCCAAAATTGATGTATAATTTCACAGCATTTTAGTCAGACCACACATTTTATTATTTTAATTATCTTAAATGTATTGAGGCTTGTTTTACATCCTTACTTATGGTCTACTCCAGAGACTGGTTTTGTTTTTTTAATTGAGAAATAAATAGGAATGAGACAGTTTCACAGCTGATTAATAGGACAGTTTTGATAATCAATACACTGTACATTGTTATCTTCTTAGTGGTTATCCAGAGTACAAGAAGCAGACAGGATATTCTGTTCAAACACTGTTAGTACATCTCTTTCTTCTCATTGAATTAAATGAAAGTAGCTGTAAATTTATCCTAACTATTTTGTATATATAAATACAAAATGATCTTTCCTTTGTATCACTTTTTTTTTTTGTCCTGTCAGAGGTGAATATTCTATTGGCATCTAAATACTATAGGTGCTTGAATTCTCCAGAGACTGTTTATGTGCCCTTGAGAAAGATGTATCTTCTGCTGTTATTGGGCAGAGTATCACAGGGATTTTTTCTGATTAAGTTTACAGGGTTATTCAAGTCTTCCACTTCCAGGCTGACCATCCATCTCATTGTTCTAGTCATCATCTCATTGTTCTAAAAGTGGGGTACTGAAGGCTCCAACTATTATTGCTGAAATTCACTTTTTGTTCTTTCAATTCTGTCAGTATTTGCTTCCTATAATTTAGGGGTCTGTTACTAGATGTATATATGTTTATGATTGCTAGGAATTCCAGATAAATTGCCCCTTTTATCACTATCAAACACTCTTCTTTGTTGCTATTAATATTGATCTTTAAATCTATCTTGTCTGTTATTACTATAATCACTTCTGTTCTTTTATGGCTACTATGTGCATGGAATGTCATTTTCCTTTCTTTACTCTCAGTACCTTTGAATCTAATTTGTCTAGTTGTCTTTGAATCAACTATATACACATAGCATATAGTTGGAACATATATTTTCTTCTTTTTACCAACCACTGCCTGTTGATTAAAGTATCTAATAAACCAGTGTTTAATGATCTATTTAATAATCTATGTTCCATGTCATATTCTTGTGCACTTTTATTCTAGCACTATTGGCTCCTTGTGTTTCAAATATGTATTTTCTCAGGTAATATTTTCAGTCTTTTGATATTTCTTTTATTATATTTAAAAAATATTTTCTTGATGGCCATCTGGGGGTTACACTTAACATATTCACTTGTAACTATTCCTCTTGTTTTGCTTGAAGCTTCTTCTTAGAATTTCAAAAATTTAGTCAAAATCATATTCAAAATAAAAAAGCTCTTCATAAATTCTGTTTAAGTGCACATTAAAGGATCTTACTACAATAAGCACTTGCCTCTATCATAAACACTTACCTTTTCTAATAATACGTTCTGCCACAACCTAAATATACTGAGGTAACTTCTATCCCTGGCACCAAAAGATGTGAAGAAAAACTGCAAAGAAAAATAATGGGACAATTTTAGTTCATAAAAATAAGGAGCAAGTACCCATCTTGGACTTGCTGTAGTCTAAGCAAACTAGTTAGGCATTATTGCTATTTACTGTCGCTCTTTGCTGCTACATACTATTTTGTATTTAATTTTTTTGTAATAATGGAAAAAAGATAATTGTTGTATGAATAAAGTGTCTTTACAAACTGTGACTTACAACAAACAGTATTTTACAGCAAACACAATTTTGTCATTATTTATTGGGGGAAATTTGAACAAACAGCTATTTATGTTTATTATGGTTTATAACTATTAAAATCAAGGTAAATAATGAGCATTTTATTTTATTCTGAATTCTGCAATATGAGTTGCTTGCCGATAAGCCAAGTCTACACAAAGAATAAATATAAACAAATAAGAGTATATTTCAGAGATGCATTTAAGAATATTAA